ATTCTCAATATACACTAGGAGAATTATCCTCGGAAATCTGTGCTGAAGGCCTAGCCCTATGTACAGATTTAAAACTCCAAAAACAACTTGATAAACAGAATCTAAGTGGTAAAAAGGAATTAGGAGATTTCTGCCAACAATTTGGCTATCATATGGACCAAGGTCATATAGATAAAACTAAACCACATAAAATCCATAAAGTATATATAAAAAAAAAACATCGTAATAAACCAGACAAAACATATAAGTCTTTCCCAACCAAGCAGAAAAAATATAAGAAATTTACAAAACGTTTTGCTTCTAAGTCATCTCAAAATAAAAAGAAATTACCTGTTCGTTATAAATGCGGCAAAGTCGGCCATTATAAAAGTCAATGCAAAGTCAAACAAAAATTAGACTCTATTACATTGGATGAGTCTATCAGAAATAAAATCTATGATATTATCCAAATATATGATTCGACTGATAGTTCAGATACCGATACTACTTCTTCAAGCAGTGATACTTCTTTCATGGGAACAATACATAATGATGATTTTTATTGGTCAAATAATAGTTCAGATACAGAAGATGAAATATGTAGATGCCCCATTACATCCTCTGATATTCATACATTAACGAAAGAAGATAATCTCATCTTAGACTTAATAGAGAAAATATCTGACCCTAATGAGAAAAGAGAAATAATTACCCAATTTATCAATTTAACTAAAACAAAAACAAAACATACACCATTAGTTAAACCTCCCAATAATTATAATTTTTCTGATATCATGAAAAGAATCAGTCAGCATGAAGCCACCCAAAAGGAACCTACTATTGCTGACCTCAAAGCCGAAGTGAATACAGTAAAAGTAGAATTAGCTCAATTAAGAACAAGGATTCAAATCCTTGAACTTCATGATAATACCTCAGAACTACATACTGAAGAAGACATAGTAGAATTTAATCATTTACTAAAATCATATCACCCCAATGATTATTTAGAACAAATGGATCACTGCGAATCATCAAATAAACATTCGATAAATGTGTTAAATAGAGTAATAACACAAAAATGGTTTGTGTTAATAACCATAGTAATAAATGATGAATATGAATTCCAATCCTTAGCATTGGTAGATTCAGGTGCTGATCTGAATTGCTTTAATGAGGGATTAGTCCTTACAAAATACTTTGATAAAACTACTCAAATTCTTAATACAGCCGATGGTAG